ATAATAAGCTATCATAACATCGCTACTTATGTTGTCTCGTGGCGGTAGATTATCAATGTAATAAGTCCTAAAAGATTCGTACTGTGAAATCTCCCAAAAATGGCATACTTGAACTAGTGCCATGATACAACCATTAAATGGCTGTATATAACACTACTTCTAGTTTTTATCTGCGATAGCGGCTAATTTTTGGAAAATAAAAAGTTCTTGAGTTGATCCCGTGTATAAGCCTTTTTCATTCAAAATCATTCAGCCCGTGCGGTAGGGAACTAATCGCTTAAGCAGTATTATAGCGGTTCTTTTCTGCGTTTATATTTGGACTCTAATATTAAACCATTTAATTTGTGCAAGTAGCAACGAGTATTTAGTTCAGTAATCATTGATTATATTTTGCATGTCAAAAGTACGTAACCCAGAAATCTAAATAAACAATTTATTAATAAACCAATATTATTAAGTATGCACAAATTTTTGTATTTATTTACATTTCGCACCGCAACAGTTAAAGGAATGGAATGATCATTGAAATCTGTATATCTTTTATGCTGGTTCATCTATGTTATACTTCTTATTAAGGAATTAAGTAAGATTCAATTACTAAGCAACAGTCTCGAGTAAGTACAACCTCTTATTCTCTTGTACTCGCACAGAATTTTTTAAAGGGAGCTATACGTCCGAGAAGAGAGCCTTTTTTTTACGTGGGAAAAATACTTTATGGACTGAATTACAAGGTACCCAACTAAAAACCAGTTACTTTATGCCGGGGAACTAACAGTCTACCCCGGCGCAGTGCCTTCTCAGGCCTCCTTTCCAGTAAGAGCCTGAACCAACTTCTGCTAAAGATGGCAGTGCCGTTAAAGCTCTCGTGTTATCTACCATCTTTTCTAAATTTGCTAAATTCATCTTCTTCTTTCTCCTGCTCTTATCCCACCTAGGTGGTCGACACAATTTGTGAATCATGTTGTAAATGGTATTGGCTAGGTGTTTTATCGTGACCTGCCTGATGTGAACTCTCCCTGGAACAATTATCTGTTGTTCACACAAATACCTGTGTGGAAATCAAACCCACGGACCCCGGCGCCCAAGCCAACGGCTTAGCGATTCCGCCATCCAGAGAAATTCTCAAAATTCTTGTAAAAGAATGCGAATTAAGCTATAACCCAGCCACTATAACAGCCTGACCCGTTCGGTGTAGTGATGGGTGGTCGTTGGTGTATGTAGCTCTAGTTCATTTATTATGTTTTGCTATTTATAAAAAACATTGCCCTTACTGTAGAATAACATTATCCTGTGTTGTAAGGTCGTTTTACATATACGAATGTCTCGTGGTCAACGATCCAATACAATTATCCGTGGGTCGCACAAATGGTCGTCCCGTGTGGTAATCGAACCCTACCTCCGATGCCGCGGCTGATACCTACGCAACTGTCATCAAATATTCAATTTGTTATGACCGTATGTACTTATCGCAATATGTCATAATATGCCTAGCGCAGCCAGAATTGCTGCCTCACCAAAGCCGCGCAAACGGTATCATGCCAACAGCGGTAATCCCGTCTCTGCGTCATTCAGTGGTCAGATTAACGGGCGATATCGTCAACGATATTAACGTCATGCACAGCAGACATGTTAATTATAATCTATTAGGGTCCCCGCATAGTAATTACTTTATATAGACGAATAGACTGTGTATGTGTTTAAGTAATCGTATGACCTAGTGTTTTGGCAGCGTATGTTACTGCTTTTGTTATCTATATGCTGCAACGGCCAAAATTATTTGTATGAAATTCGGGTGGTTCATAACATCGAAACTAACCATTGCATATACTTACTTTCTTACTTTTCTTACTAAACCTTACTAATATTACAAACGCGAAAGTTTGTATGTATGGATGGATGTTTGTTACTCTTTCACTCAAATACTACTGAATGGATTTTAATGGAACTTTATAATAATATAGCTTATACACCAGAATAACACATAGGCTATAATTTATATACATATTTTATGTATCTGTCTTTCTGTCTGAAGTTTACGCCTTCAGCCTATCCTACGCAGACGCAGTCACGGGCAGCAGCTAGTGTTTCATATATTTGAGGTAGTATTTCTGCAACTACCGATCTCACATATAAACCCAATGCATATCCATACAAACAAACTTTCGCCTTTATAATATTAGTAAGGATTTGTCTGTGGTGGATTTATTACTCGAGGTCATTCATAACTCAAGTCAAAAATTTGTCACGATAGCGCAAAAAAGCGGAAACATTGTCGCTGGTGGGCTACCGACCCCTTCCAGGAAGACGGTCGCGATAATAGCGATGAGCTATTACTCCGCAACTTCGGAGTGTCCTAATGAAATATGCATAATGCAACGCCGTAATGGAACCCGTTTGTATAACAGCTTAATTATAACGCTCCAAGTAAACGCTCCGAGGCTTTTGCAAATATGACGTCCTTCCCACATTTGCATAGACCACCCGCCCAACGCCACGTAAATATAAATAAACTCTGAAGTCTTTCGTCAACAGATGGATAGACTGATAGCTACGGAGAGACATCTAGCGAATTATTTACGTTCGCATAAAGTTGTCATGTCACAACAAATCTTACGAGTTTCTTATCTATGTTAAGCACTTACGCCTTACATTCAGACGGGCTGCAGGAATATGGATTTGAATGCTTTATTTGCACAAATAGAAAACATTACATATAAGTTATAAATACAATACATTACAATACATTATAAATAATATGTAAGTATTTTAATTGAACAAAGATAGATTTGAAGAATATTCTTTATAATTAAGATAATGTCAAATTTTCGCTAACGTAATTGCTATATTTATCTTTTGCCTTTGGCTTATATTAAACATAAACAATAAGAGTCTCAAAAAAACTTAAAAAACCCGGCCAAGTGCAAGTCGGACTCAAGCACGAAGGGTTCCGTACCATTATCTATAGAAACGTCAAAAAATCGTATCTGCTGTACGGGAGCCTCACTAATATTTTTGTATTCGTTGTTTTTTTTGTATTTGTTGTTATAGCGGCAACAGAAATACATCATCTGTGAAAATTTCAACTGTCTAACTATAATGGTTCATGAGATATAGCCTGGTAACAGAAGGACAGACAGACGGACAGAAAGCGGAGTCTTGAATAATAAGGTCTCGTTTTACCCATCGGGTACGGAACCCTAAAAATTAAGTGTCTCAAGTCATTTCATGATAAAAAGATAAATAGCAGCAGGTATGTGTAACGCGCCTCCCACGAGTCGAGTTGGAATCTCTGCTACATTACGCTGCTAGATGTCAAATATCCTGTGGATCTAGATTCCGTGATAGCTTTTTTACGATGCGCAGTACATGGTGCGAGTTTCAAAGGTGGGTTCTCGTTTATCACAGTTGCGTGCGCAGTGACAGCTCAGATATCACTATTACATATTTCATCCGATCCTTTACAATAGTTTCAAATCACGTGGTAAAATACTGATACCCGAATGGCCGGTATTCGAATCTAGCAGCAAATATGACGCAGAAACTATCACGTGTTTTCTGTTTTAGATTGCGCATTCTATAAGTAATTCTACAATGCAGTGACGTCGTTTTCCATCTCTGTAGCCAGCTTGGTTACCCACAAAGGTCCCGCAAATATTCAAGCACAATTTGCCACGTGTGATGCGATTTTTTTAAACATTGGCCTTATAAACGTTCTATCATCGTTTTCCACGTACGAAATCGAAAACGAATGTAACATTTCACACGTTTAGAACGTGCTCTAAGTAAGAAATAAACGTAACATTATTCTATTATAAAACATATATAATAATAAGAATATATGTGTTCATCGTTCCACCCGCTGGGTCTTGGATTTATATGTATACGCATATGCGTAGTAAGAAGCAGCATGTTTCTGTATAAAAACATATATATGTTTTTACACAGAAACATGCTGCTTCTTCAGTAGTCACATGTTCATGGGAACAGATCAATCCCATGAGAAGCCAAACGATTGTCCGTCTCTTCGCAGGGTTGTGATTCCCGCGCGTCGTTAAATGCATCCGGGTATGCTTTGATGGTATTGCTAGGGCTTTTTACAGGATATGGCCAAATGAGGTCTTATGAGTGCCCCCTTAAAACACGAGGCGTATTAATATCCTTCATATTGACAACAACTTGGCCACTAGTTCAGGATGTCACTGCGGTGATTAGTGGTCGAAAGGGTTCATAGAAAGAACGTGTGAACCCTTTGTAAATAGCTTTATATGTTAATAAAGCACCAATAATTTTATAATGTGTTGAAGGTGATACGTTTAAAATACTTTCGTCGATTGTAATTCGTATAAAATACGAAAAGAACTCATTGAGCTTTTAGTATTTATCATCAGTTATTGTAGAGTAAAAGCACACTAAAAGTTCTTTAGATCATGTAAGCCATTGTAGGGTATTTGAAAGTCAATCGGTAATATCTACCTCTTACTAATTTTTCATTGTTTCCGTTTAGTTCAACTTAGAATGTAAGTCATTTTTACATTTTATTGCAAGGTTTGAAATCTTTTCATTCGGAGGTTATCCGTTATTCTATTTAAGTGTCTTTTATTGTGTATATTAAACGTTAATATACCACCACCAAAATATGACTATAATTTTACATAATGTTCGTCCAGTTATCATAGTATCCTCAGGACAAATACTCAAATTTTATTTCGAAAATATTCAAGGACAATATAAACTTCAGAATGAAATCTATCAATTCGGCCGTAAATTAAGGTGGGGAATGGAGAGTTATAAAGATAAGCGGGCCATATTTTTTCCTTTAAAATATATTTCATTTCTTTTTTTGTTTGTTACAGACATGCAGCGTTAGCAAGAGTGTGTCATTAAGATGTAGTAAGAAAATGTAGTACCGTGACAACATCGATAGTGGATGTAAACAATGATCAGTACCCTTGTCGATATTATCTTACCGCGCGCACCGTAGTGATGTATCGATATCGAACATGATTGTGTCTCGTACGCAACTAGTGCTGTTCTGTGCCCTGCTGCATTATCGAGTGGAAAGCCAACAGGAGGTGCTTATCGAGGAATCACGTGAGTATTTTCGAATGTTCGTACGATTATGAAAAGGAATCTTATTTGTATTGTAGTAAAATGAATGTAGTAAAAAAAAATGGACACCCTGAAATAAAAGAAATGAAATTAGGTTATCCTTTCACTAACAACTTTATGACATTTATGTTTAATTCAAAGTTATTTAATTAAACAGTTATCATTCGCGTTTAATGTCTTTTTGACAAACAAAAAGCACGGGTATCAAATTTTTAAGCTACTTTGCTTTTGTATCGTTAAAGAAGTGTAACTTCTTACGTGCGTTCTTAAGTGTACTTAAAAGTTTACAAAAGTAAAAGTTTACACAAACTTTTTTTAAGTGTCATTTTTTAGTGCTGAACTATCACGTGCTGTAAAGGAGTGAGGAAACCTGTATATTTATGAGAAAATAACAAAAAAAATGTTTCGAAGATATGTGTCTGCCAATATTCAGTGGGGCCTCGTGGTGGAGTATGTCCTAATATCCTCTGTATAGAGTAGGCCTTTGTTTAGCATTAGGACATACTCGTATGTAGGCTGTTACTTTACTTTTAATTTTAAGCGTTCTCTTTCTTATCCTTATTAAGCTTATTTTAATCTGCGCCCTTTTTATTTGTAATAAAAGAAAATAAAAGATTTCAAGTAAAACAATTTCCTTGAAAAGGAGGAATACTCTCATCCCTCTCACAGAATACTGTTTCTTAATCCCCAGCTAGCTGAGTAATAAATAAATAAACCTTAAGACAGACCATAAAAAATATCTTAGATAGTAGAAAAGTATTACAAAGCAGCACTATTTTTAATATATCGCCTTTCATAGAATTAATAAACGTATATAATATTACTATAGCAGTGTATTTTTAGTACTGTTACGGCCGGTTTATATATTCTACTTACAGTATTATTATTAATGATATTATACACAAATACGACGTAGATATCACACTAGCAGCGAAATAGATGCACTCAAATTACATCAGTTGGTGTAATTGGTAAGCCTGCCATCTCTTTCCGTTTCATACGTTTTGTATCATCTGTCACATACACATACAAATGTCATACTATATGCTGCCCGCGACCAAGTCTGCGTAGAATAGGCGGAAGGCGTAACATTCAGATAGAAAGACAGAAAATACATAAATTATGTATATAAATCATAGTCTATGTGTTATTCCGATCTATAAGCAAGATTTTTGTAAAGTTTCATTAAAATCCATTCAGTAGTATTTGCGTGAAAGAGTAACAAACATCCATCCATACATACAAACTTTCGCCTTTATAATATTAGTAAGGACAATGTTAAGCGGATAATTGTTGATCTTTATTAAACATCATTGATTATATTATCGTATTTGACATTAGCTCCGTAATGCTAACGTAAAAATTCTATCTCCAGTAACCGAACGTTTGGCAGCTGTTTGGAAGGTGTTAACACTGATGTCTTGTATAATTGATCAAGATATATCAATTAATTATTTATGATATTTAATGGACAGGCTCTATTATAACATTGAAGAATTCAATACAGACTAAGATAAATTGAAAACGGCCCTTGTTATTGGCTGTTATACTAATTATGCTACGATAGTTTAGAATAAATAAAAATGAAAAGGAATATACACGTATAACCCTAAAGTATTTTTTTCTCAACGAGTGATAGTAATTGACGTTAGTAACTGCTCAAATTTTTGCGAGCGCAACGCAATAAATAAAACCACACAATATTACCAAATGCCACAATGGCGCTGTAGCCGAATGAAATAGACGAATATAAATTGTAGCGAGTTTAAACTAAGATGAAGCTTTCACAGAGTAGAATGTATTTTTACAATTATATGGTATTCAAAGTAATACATCAAAAATAGTATAATTTGTTAAATGAGATTTTATTTACGGGTTTCATCGCGTTTTCGTATCCATTCTTACGGGCAGACTGGCAACTAACGTCGATGCGAATTTATCTTCAAAATGTAACGCGACAAAACTTTAAATTTAGTTTTTAAATGTACCAATTAACTATATACAGTATTCGTGTGAATATCATGTATGAGGTACAATCAGTTATTAAGCGTTATTTCGTCACGTAGATTTTATACATTATAAAAATAAGTGGCGATGTTATAAATGAAAATTCAAAAGCCATAGCAGTAGGTCACGGCGGCCGATAACGCTCTCTGCGAAAGTGTTCACATCACTGTGTGGAGATGCTGACGCAGCTTTCCTTTGTGCTAACGGAAGATCGATGCCGCCACGTCGCTTCGGAGACTAGTGTCTCGCATTACATCCATTACGCGATAACAGATGATTTGTGTTCCACGAATATTGATTCGGCGCGCGATGGATAGCGGGATAAGAAATGTATTAGTATTGATGTGTCGCAAGAAAGGGAGCGTGGTTCTGTAAGTTTTGTTTGCGAGTTTAGTGGCCCTTGCAGTGCCCTTTAAGTTCCACTCGCACCAATTATGCGGAGTTCCATCGCTATCGAACTAATGCAGAGCGAACGGATTCTGGACAAAGGACAAACGTTTCTGTGTACGTAGACTTTTAGAGTATAATGATTCTAATATACATTGGGGATTATGCTAAAGTTATCTGTTATACAACTACAGGTAACATTAGATTTTCCGTATCGAAATTGAGCGGATTTAAATTTAAACGAGCTGTGATAGCTCATTTTACAGGCGCTTGCTTTTAATTCAATATACTCGAGCAACCTGATTTCGATCCCCGGTGCCGGCAGTGAAAAGCTTCGGCTGATGCACAAATGGGCAGGTCCATTCGGGTAAGTACTATGACCTCACAGGAGACCGGCGTGAAGTGGATGTGTCATACTTCTCGTTTTGTCTGGTGAGTGAGGTATCCGGGGCCCACTTTGTTAAAAGGTGGCAACGCATTTACGACTGTATTGGTGTTGCAAATATCCATGGGTGGCAGCTATCACTTAACATCAAGTGAACCGCCAGCTCGTTTACCACTTTTTCATATAAAAAAACCTTAAGAAAAAGTAAGGAAAGAAGTCTAACATTAGACAATTATTATGATTTGAATTAGTGAAAAAACAAAATCGTTAATTTTTTAATAATAGTGAGGATAATGCTAACTTATTCTTACAAGCCTTATAGCAAATAGAAGAATTTCGAAATGCGTAAAATTGTCAGCGACCCATGAATATTTAAATTGGACGAACCGAGACCGCAATATTAATGACTTGTGTTTTAAAATAACAGCCACAGCTGGCAATAAAGCTAAACAACCGCCGCTAATTAGCGGACAGTCAAGCCAGGCTTCACCCACCCGCTGTATGCGGCCCAACGCAGAAATATCAGCTTACAAGTTTTGTGAATAAAATACAATGAACAAAATAACGCAATCGTACCAAATACACGACCATAAAGATGCTGCGCACTCTAAGTTATGTGAATTAAAAATGTTCCCGGCTTTATAGTGAAAATTGCAAGTGTTGAAATCCGTAAAAAAGCTACAAATAGTCTAAAAAATAGAGCAACAATTTTTGTTACGTTTAAAACTTCAGTTTTCTGTGTTGCCAGTGGTAAAAATATTTATAATTTTTGTAGGATACATTGGGGAATTAACATGTTTGATACCCCGACCTTAGTCACACGAATTCAAAGTCAATGTTAACAGAAGAATCGAGTAAGTTTTAATTTTAGAATCAACGATAAAACCGAGAGATTTCTCGAGGGCCCATCATTAGGTGCAACTGGCGTTGTAGAAAACTGTTGACCCGAATTGGTGGAAAAAACTTAATCGAGCGCTTGCGTTAAAAGGATTTACGAGTATTCAAACAGAGGGCCGGTCAACAGTACGAGTGAAATATGGAGGTCATTGGCACCTTCAGCCTTTTAATTAAGCAAATAGACATGCTTGGTTTCGTTGTTCGCGCTGCAAGCGTCGTTCACACGTTCGAATGAAGAGAATACGCATGAAGTAATATTTTACTAGTGGTCGCCTAGTGGTCGAAATTCCACCGTCATCGACCGTCGTCGTCATTCGACCTGGTAGTTAATTATGGTCGAGTTTCGACCACTATTAATTTAAATTATAAGTTTGGACGATGTTAATATATTCTCAATTTGATCACAGACGTTAAAAATAAACAAAAGAGTATATATATATGCGTGTGTATGTGTCAAATACATGGTAGTGTGTGTTATGTTTTTTTTATTGATTTAATGTATTTTTATGCATAATTAAAAAAATATATTAGCATTCTGCTTTCCTTCTCTATACAAACTATAAGTGTGGGAAATTTCATACTTCCCCGTCCGCGCAATACTCGTAAAAAGTTAAATTAAATTAATATATAGACTTCCTATCCGATTTCAAAAGTTACAAACTTGCTAAAACTTGTTTCTTATACCTTGTCTTTGATGAGATCAAATTAAAATAAATCGCAATAAAATCAATAAACTAGTTATATTTGAATGTTATATTTGCGTAGATAAGAGAAATTGTTACGTGACAAATGTAATCAAGGTAAAATTAAAATCTAATGAATATTAAAATGGCGGTATTTCGAAGCGTACATTATGACCGCCAACTGACGAAATTATAGAAATTTTAATAATCCTTGCGAAGAAATTAACGTGTTAATTTCGTGTTCCGCGTACCTTTCAACAAAGAACTGATATTTAAAAAGTTCTGTGACATTATAAAAGCCATTCCGTACTATTTTTATGTACTTATATCACGGAAGATCAAAGCGATTTAGTTTCTAAAAGAATTTGATATTGCTCCAACGTTGTTTCGTTTCGGAATCGATGAGAAGTTTGTGCATGATAAAGGTTTCTGAGTATTCTATTTCGAATTCGATAAAGATCCGTTGTTTTATCGGTATTGGTTGGTTCGTTTCGTTGGATAGAAAATTTTGCGAGAATATTGCAATTTCAGTTAAATCGCTCGAGATGCCATACGAATTCCGATAGAAGAGCCGCCGTACGTACGAATGTATTATTACATTTAAACGTCGGACAAGTAAACGA